CCTTGTGCTTCTTGCGGGCGCATGTGCTGCTGTGCCGCTGGTGGTTTGGTAAACCGGGCACACACATGGGAGGCATGTGCTTACCCAGCCGCTTGTTTTATTAATACCAACGTATTCACTAACTTTTTTTTTTGCACGCAGACATATTGGGCTCCTAATATAAGTCTAAGCGTGCCTCTATCCCGTAACTGTCTTTTGTCGATTCATGACGCAGCTTTCCTCGCTGCTTTGACAAAGCATAATAACTCTTTTTTGTTTCGGCGACCTTCCTTGTGTGCTTGTGGAGGGAGGTGCTCGTCGGACCATCCTGCCGCAGGACCGCGCTGCCGGTGCCCGCACACCCGTGTGTCGGCCTGTCGTGGTGGCGGTTGTGTTGTTCCTTGTGTGTTGGTGCAAATACGCTGATCTGTATGTGCGTGCTGGGCGCCCGCAGCACTCTGGGAATATGATATGTTATATCGTGTTTCACCATGTCTACTTGGCTGCGTTTGTTTGTTTGTTTGCTTAAAGAAGTATTCAGAATTTACCGCATATAAGGGTTAAGTCCTGTATTGTATATTGGAGAAATAATGAGCCGTTCACTTGTTCAGATCTACTGCTATGACCTGAGTGGAGGGATGGCGGCTAACATGAGCCTGTTGCTCATTGGGCGTCACATGGAGGGTATCTGGCACACGGCTGTGGTTGTGTACGGTAAAGAGTTCTACTTTGACGGTGGCACGGGGANCTCATTGGGCGTCACATGGAGGGTATCTGGCACACGGCTGTGGTTGTGTACGGTAAAGAGTTCTACTTTGACGGTGGCACGGGCATCGTACACGAGGCGCCAGGGCGGACGCGTTTTGGCTCACCGAGGCGTGTGGAGTCGCTGGGGACAACAACGAAAGGGGAGGCAGAGTTTGTGGCATGGACGCAGCAGCAACGCCGCAGTGGATTTGGCCCGTACGATTATAACCTCCTTACACGTAACTGCAACCACTTCACCCAGGAGGCGGCGCAGTTTCTTCTTGGGCGGGATATTCCGGATGACATTCGCAACATGATCCCCATGGTGTTGGACACACCGCTGGGTCGCATGCTGCGGCCCATGTTGGAAAGCATGACAACGGCCTCTGGTGCTGTGGCTGCAGCGCCGCAGCCCACACGCGAGAGCGGCCGTCCTGCCGAACCCCTGAGACCCGGGCTGCACTCCACGAAGACTGTCTTCACGGTGGATGAGGAAGAGGATATCCAGATTGCATGTGCTATGCTGCAGAGCAATGAGTTGTTGTCGGCGGGGAATCGAGAAGGCTTTGACGTCACGCTGGGAGCGCTGGAGCTGCTCCGTACGGCCCTGAGGAATATCGTGGAGCACCCCACTGAATCGAAGTACCGCGGCCTTTCCACCAACAGTCAGAGCTATGTAACAAAGCTGCTGCCACTGGAGGAGTTTGGAGCGGTGGAGCTTCTGCATATGTGTGGTTTTCGCCTGCGTCAGCACCCCTCGGGTACGGGACAGCAGTGGTATCTGGACGACGACAGCGGCAGCGCGGATATCCTTAGTATCATGATCAGCCGCCTGAGCGATCTGATTGAGGCGGTGGAGGCAGAGGCGCCATCTCCTGCACCAGAAGCTGCAGCTGAAGGAAAGAGCAATGCGAATGCCCAGACTCTGCAGACGAGTGGGGGTGCTCTTTCTCCTGAGGAGCTGGAGGAAACGGAGTCAGGGGAACGTCAGTGGAAAGCCATGCAGCGTGATGCTGGGCACCCGCTGAAGTCACTCGACGAGCTGCTGAACTGGTCAGCGAAAACGGATGGCAGCATCACACCAGCCGTTCCGTGCCGTCGGCGTGTGTCTGCCGTCTCGCAGCAGTCGCGGTTGTTGGTCTGCCACGACATGCGTGGAGGGTACTTGCCTGGCGACTATGCCCATTTCGCCCTCTGCGACACCTCCTCTGCGGTGGAACCGGTGGTGGACAACGCCTACACAGTAAACTACTGGCATCTCTTTGACTACTTTGTGTACTTTGCACACCACCGTGTTTCTATTCCGCCAAAAGAGTGGATCAACGCTGCCCATCGCCAAGGGGTGCCAGTGCTAGGCACTTTTATCACCGAGGGCGATGGGTTGGATGTTCGGATGATGGTGCACGACGCCAAAAAGATGGGCGCTGTGATTCATCAGCTCGTGGAGCTCTGTAACGCGTACAACTTTGACGGCTACCTTATCAACATTGAGAGCAACATTGACACAATACTGGCGAGTCGGTTGGTGATGTTTGTCTCCATTCTGCGACAGAAGCTTAACAAGCGCCGTCCCCCTTATTCCTGTGAGAGAAGTGTTGTGTGGTACGATGCTGTCACAGTGGACGGCGTAGTGCAATATCAGAACGCCCTCACCGTAAAGAACAAAGCATTCTTCGATGTGAGCAATGGCATCTTTACCAATTACAGCTGGAACACGATGTGTCTGAGTCTCTCTAAGGTATTGGCAGACAGTCGCGCCCTTGACGTGTACGTCGGAGTGGATGTGTTTGGTCGTTCCCGCATGTACGGAGGTGGTGGCTACGGCAGTGATATTGCAGCCGAATGTGCAACAAAGCTTGGGCTCTCTGTTGCGCTCTTTGCGCCAGGATGGACGCTGGAGGAGAAGGGTAAAGGGCTGCGAGAGACCTTTCTGCACGCCAATGGCATCTTATGGTCGAAGCTTCAGAGGCTTTTCAACGATCGATGGATAGAGTGCGACACGCTGCCCGCGTGGACGTGCTTCCGCTCCGGTGTGGGGAAGCAGTTCTACGTGAATGGTGAGCGAGTGGTGGGCAGCAGCAGAAGTACACATCCTGCCGAGTGGTGCCAGATGTCACAGGCGCATTTCACCCCATGCTATCAGTTTGCTGCTGGTAGCACGGAGCGCGACCCGTGGTGCGTGCTCCCGCTGCATATAGACGGAAAAAACAACTACAATGGAAGCAGCAAGCACGACAGTGTGGTGCCGGTGGAGTGGACGGGCGACGCGGTGTGGATGGGTGACCGCAGCTTGAGCTTCGTGGTGCCGTGTGGAGGCGCCGTGACACTCCTGCAGTGGAGGGTCCACCTTGACAAGAGCAAAATCAGCAGTGGTGGTGGTGGTGGTGGTGCGGTGGCGTACCTCGACGTGGTGTGGCGCCGCGACGCCGATGGCGGGCGCTGGCGACGGGTGCGTGTGGAGGGCGTGTCAGGGTCGAGCACCACGCAGGTGGTGTTTGGTGGGGAGGGCAGCGCCGGGGGGGCAATGCGCGTCATTGCGTCCGTGAGTGACTGGGAGCTTGTGCGCTATGTCATTAGTGCGGATGCCAGTTGGTCTCAAGTTACCTCTGTGGCGGTGCTGAATGCCTCGACGGATAAGCCGCTGCGCTGCACCATTGGCGGCATCGCCTTTGCTCCACCACACAACGGCAGTGGCGTGGAGGGCAGCGTGTTGCTGGCGGGCAAGGTGCACCAGCTACCCGCCACTGCGTTTCATGTCAAGCGGACACGGCATCGCACGATACGTTTAGTTCGTGTGGAGGTGCCGAGCGAGCTGCAGCAGTTCGAAAGTGTTCTCGTGTTTGCGACGATCGGCGCCGACCACGGCGCGTCGGTGCGCCTGTACGTGGGGCAGCACGTGGTGGAGCCGATCATGTGGGTGGCGCTGCATCTCCCGCCGATTGCTACCGTGCAGGAGCTGGTGCTCCGCTCTGTTTCTGCGGGCAGCTGAGGCGCCCGGTGGTGGGCACCCCCCCCCCCCCNCCCCCCCCCTTTAACTCGCTCATCTCACGCACGGGCGTCTCGCACTGCCGTTGCTGCTGACGGACTCTGTCTTTTGTGTTTTTTCTATATTTGTATTCACAGCTGCGGCTTCTCATGTGTCAGTGCTTGGGTCTGCTGCAGCGGCGGCATTGATGCGGTGTTTGAACTGGCGCCGTCGCTCTTTCTATTGCTCTCTCTCCTCCTCCTCCTCCTCCTCCTCCTATCTCTCTCGCCCCCTTTTCACGTCTCGTTGGCGTCCACACACGTTACGACTGCATGCGCGCTGTGCCAGTTGTGGGAGCACACACTGCGGCGATGTTGGCGGTGCGCCGCGCTGTCTTCGGCGTCGCCGGCGGCTTCGCCGTCACGGACTTCTACGTGAACTGCGTGGCCCTGTCGGAGATCCGTCTCGAGCCGGTGCCGATGCGTGGCGGGGGGGTGCTGGACG